ACAAAAAAAAAAAAAAAAAAAAAAAATTAGCCGGGTGTGGTGGCAGGCGCCTGTAATCCCAGCTATTTGGGAGGCCGAGGCAAGAGAATTGCTTGAACCCAGGAGGTGGAGGTTGCAGTGAGCCAAGACTGCACCACTGCACTCCAGCCTGGGTGACACAGCAAGACTCCATCAAGAAGGAAGGAAGGAAGGAAGGAAGGAAGGAAGGAAGGAAGGAAGGAAGGAAGGAAGGAAGGAAGGAGAGAAAGAGAGGGAGGAAGGGAGGAAAGGAGAAAAGGAGGAAGGGAGGAAGGGAGGGAGGGAGGGAAAGAGAGAGAAAGAAGGAAGGAAGGAAGGAAAAGAAAGAAAGAAAGAAAGAAAGAAAGAAAGAAAGAAAGAAAGAAAGAGAAAGAGAGAAAGAAAGAAGGAAAGGATTTCTATGACAAATGGGAATAATAATCCCTATTTTCTAACTGCAGGGCCAACAGACAGGTCACCCTTTAGTACTATTTTTCCTTTAGTAGCCAATAATTTAAGGCAGACCATCAGGAACTAGTTCAGGGGAGATATGCTTCTTTTCAAAAACAAAAGGGCCCTCAAACCAAGGCTTGTCCTAGAATCTGATTAGCTGAGGTGTGGGGGGACTTCTCAGGTATCTCAGCAATGAGCAGGGCAAGCACTTGACTGGGTGATGAGGTCATGAGAGAGGCATAGCGGGCTCCCATGTCACCCTTCCCCTCTCTCTCTCAATTCTTCCTGCCTCTTTTGTGCTGCTTTGCCACTCCCAGGAGCAGGGCTACTTTGTATGGTTGTGCAGGCAGTGCACTGTACAACTCCAGGGAACTATAGAATCTGTGTGAATGGAGCCTCCTGGACTTGTGCAGCATGACTGCCTCCAGCAGAAGCCTAGTCTTCTGCGGTCTCTAAGTTTGGACTTCTTAGTCCTAGACACAGCTACTTCCTCAGGACCCAGGCTTTAGTCTCTGCTAAGGTCAATGGATAATAATGGCTTAGATCATATTAGAATTTTTTTTTTGAGATGGAGTCTTGCTCTGTCACCCAGGCTGGAGTGCAGTGGCGCGATCTTGGCTCACTGCAACCTCCGCCTCTTGGGTCCAAGCGATTCTCCTGCCTTAGCCTCCCGAGTAGCTGGGAGTACAGGTGCGTGTTACCATGCCCGGTTAATTTTTTGTATTTTTAGTAGAGACGGGGTTTCAGCATGTTGGCCAGGCTGGTCTCGAACCCCTGACCTCGTGATCTGCCTGCCTCAGCCTCCCAAAGTACTGGGATTACAGGCGTGAGCCACTTTGCCCAGCCTAGATCATATTAGAATCTTTAAGTTGGTATTTGTCTAATATTTTTACTAATATCTTTCTCATAATGGTAAAATGCATTAGTCAGGATAAGCTGACAGACAAGGTCCAGATCTCAGTCGTTTAACATAAGTAACACAAAGGAAGGATGATCTTTTGCTTGTGTCACAATCCAGTGTGGAGTGCGGGAGAAAGAGGATCTGGCCCCTTGGCCATCTGAGGCCTCTGTCAATACCTCAGAGAAGTCCTTCAGTGAGTCTGCTGAAAGTGGGGAAAGGGCATGAAAGGCATCCCCATCTGCATGGCCTCTGACTGGAGGTGACACACATCACCTTCACTCATCGTCCATGAGCAAGGACGAGGAGATAAGGAGAATGTCAAGGAAGGCAGTATTGATGTTTAAGCTTAAGAACAACCAGCTAGTCTCAGCCACAGCATGGGTAGTAACAATGCCTTATTCTAGCTAGTTAAGTGAACGTATGTCCACCCCAGAGTGCTGATGCTAACATAGAAATTCTGGCCTCCCAGAGAGGTGAGGGAGAGGGAGATATATGGCCGGACGCCTTCCTGGTCCTTCTGTAACTCTGGGCAGGTAGACTCCTTACTTCACCGACCGGGTGGTAACTGCTTTCAGAGCAGGAATATTTGGATGGGGAAATATTCAGCTATGTCTCCTTCATGTAAAGGGCTGGAGGCCCAGGGGTTTTTAAATGAAGGGAGGGAGTCCATGGATTTGCTTCAAGCATTTGGTGACTCCCTGGAGACCATATGTAAAATTTTGTGTTCATGTGCAATTTTCTAGGAAGAGGGTCCCTAATTAGGCACATAGAAGACATTCAATAAATATTCCTTCTAAAAACTCACAAAAGGGTCTTTGTTAGTCAGTGTTGTCCAGAGAAACAGAACCAATAGAATGTGTCTATAAAGATATTTATTTTAAAGAATTGGCTCACGACTGTGGAGGTTGGCAAGTCCCAAACCTGCAGGGTGGGCTGGCAGGCTGGAGACCAGGAGGAGCCAAGGCTTAAGGTCTGAAGGCTGTCAGGCCAGAGAATCCCCTCTTGCTCAAGGGGAGTCAGTCTTTTGTTCTTTTCAGGCCCTCAGTGGATTCAATGAGACCCACCCATATTAGGGAGGGCCATCTGCTGTACTCAGAGTCCACCGATTAAAATGTTAGTCTCGCCCAAAAACACCCTCACAGAAATGTCCAGAATAATGTTTGACCATATACGTCTGGGCACTGTCACTTAGCCAAATTGAGACGTAAACTTAGCCATCACAGAGTCCTTGACCCAAACAAAAGGCAAAGGTTAGGAACTACTGTTTTAGGAAGTTTCCGCCATTCTCCCTACTTCTCATCAGCTAGTCTCTATGCCTGGTCCAGCTTACTTACTCCGGTGGCATGTAACCACTCCCTTCTAGCAACTTTCCATCTATTCCACACTGAGAAAATTGGAGCAGGAATACTCAATTGAACGTTTATAAATGTTAAAGAAAGCATTACTTTTCTCCAGGATATTTTTGTTTGTTTGTTTAAGTTTTGACAGAATCTCTAGAAACGTTGCTTAATCAAAACATTTTAATCTTCCTTTTCTGTATGTGTCAGTGATCGTATAATTGGCTAAGGTGTACATCTTTCAGTTTATATTTTACATCACTGCTTCTAGTCATTTGTGTTGAAGAAATCCTCCAGCAAAATGAAGTTCCTTGAAATCACAGATTATACCTTATTTCTTTGCAATTCTCTACAGCGTTAAAAATGCTACTGGCACAGGCACAAACACTCATTAACTTGTGGTGTTGTCACATTCTGTTTTATTTTACTCCACTAACAGTAAACCACCAGCTACCCCTGGTATTAAAAATAACCCACATTTATCTTTCGGGTTGTCACTTAACTTGGACATCTCTACCTTGATTTCACAGAAGGAGCTGCACATACAGAAGACAGAGGCAAGGCTGGGGCAAGAATCATCTTACTTTCTGGTTATTTCTTTGCGTAAGTAAAGTCCAGGGATTTAATGCAGATATTCTCTTCCATCCTCCTTTAGCCTAACTTAATCCTCATCTGAAAAAGTCCAGTGAGGTGGGTTTGCAAGAAAAAACTCTTTCTGCTCATTCTTCTGCAGGGCCCCTACTGGTGCTGTAATGTGGTATGGCTGAGACTTCCCTTCCTTACCCTGAGAAAGAAAGGATGTTCTGTTTCGTGAAGTATTAAGGGACCTGGATAGGTCAGTGCTGCTCTATTAATATAAAATGAGATTATTCACCAGCTGTTGTTTCTTTGCTTTCAGCAGAGCCATTGAAACGTTTGCAAAATAGCAGAGGGTTCCAGATGGGAGGAGCCATTGTTCAAAGTCCAGACCACCCAGCGGGCATGTCAGGTAATGGGCTTCACATCTGACCCCTGCAGAAATTTGATAACACATTAAGGGTGTCATATGATTGGTCTGTACCATTGGGGAAAATACCCTCCTTTTCCTTCCTGCTGACTTCTTTTTCCCCATTATCTTCCCTCTCCTCTTGTAGGACCACAAATCCTCCTAAAAATCTATTCAAAAGAAGTTACTAGATTAAGTTAAAGTTAAACTCAGTTAAAAAGATAGTAAATGTTGTTTTGCTGTCAAATTTGTCTTTTGCAGCTCACAACATGACCTGCTTATGTGTTTGATTTTCAGACCCGTAAGACGTTATCCCCAACGGAAGAAACAATGGCAGAGAAAGGTATTTACGTAGAGCAGCAAGCCCCTCAGATTTAATGTGCATGCAAATCAACTGGGATTCCTGTTCAAATGTTTCAGTAGGTCTGGAAGGGGCCCAATAATCTGCATTTCTAGCAAGCAACCAGGGGATGAGGAACTCTTTGAGTGGCAAGAATGTGGATTGGATGTTGTTCAACTGCTTCTATTTTGTAGCACATCTGTCAATTTGACTAAGCTATAGAAAATACAGGGTGACAAACTTTTCTCCTTAAAACTGAATTCCTTAATGCTTTGTTACAGAAATATATGAGGATAGAGCATTGTTCATTATCCCTTTTTTTAAAAAAGGTTCTTTCTACTGATGATCATTCAACCTTCATTACCATTTTTGTTGCTTTTCCCCTGTGAGCACAGGACACTTATTCTCTATCTGGATCTAGTATACTAAGCTATAACCATCTCTCCCAGGAAATCATGTGTTTGCTGGGAGTGAATTTTCCAGAAGGCACCTTGGCCTCATGACACAGAAGGTCTGATTTCAACTCTGCCAGTGAAGAACTGAGAGACCCTGGACAAGTTGTCTCGCCTTTCTGATCAATTGCTATACCTAAAATAGGTACACTGTGTGGGGGGAAGCGATTAAAATTTTTGAAAACATTTTAATTTTTTGGTTTATTATTATTTTTTATAGAGATGGGGTCTCACTATGGTGCCCAAGTTGGTTCAAACTCCTGAACTCAAGCGATCTTTCCTTGACGGCCTCCCATAGTGCTGGAATTATAGGCATGAGTTACCACTCCCCACCAAAAATTTAAAAAACAGTTTTGAGTGGGAAAATAGAACTATCAACTTCACAGGATTATTTTAAGCTTTAAATGAGATAGTGTATGCAAATTACTTACTATATTACATGAAGTAAGAACTAATCCTCATAAAGTCATGTGAAATGCTCCATAAAGCAGGCTTAAAAACAAACAAACAACCTCTGAAATTTACATTCAGAATTGCTACAATGTTTTCCTGTGATCCATATTGGAAGGAAATCTTTCCAAGACATCTCCCATCCCTGCCTTGTTTAATGGTGTCTCCTGAATTCACTTTAGCTCTTTCCTCATGACTCAGGGTCCCTGTTTTGCAACGAGTGACTGTACTGTCCTAGAACATAGGGATGACCTCAGTGAGGGGTTTTTCTACTGTCCACCCTCCCCTCTCCCTCCTCCACCCACACTCTCACAGCCGTGTTCATAGTTCCATAATAGCCCTTACCACACTGTGGCAAAAATATCTGTTTACTCAGCTTTTTGGCCTGGGACCCCCTTTCTTGGGGCAGGGGTCAGGTCCTCAGTAAATGTTTCCCCAGGCCCCATTTAAAGGGTTGGGTGTCCAGAACTCAGCAGCGTGGCTTGTGTTCAATCATTCCAACACTTTAAAATGCCCCCATGTCCTCGGCCAAGTACTGAAAGCACTGCTCTGTTTTATCTTTTCCAGATAACCAAGGACAGAAATTACATTCCTCCGTAGAACCTTGTAATGGTTTTAAGTAACTGAAGGACCAAGAAGATATTTACTCTTCGGCTAAAATGTAAGCCTAGTCTGTCTTCTTTGCTTTTTCTTTTGGGTCTTTGTTCTGCTTCCATTGACGGCAAGGACATTGGAACCAGACAGCCTTGGGTTCAAATATTGATCTACGCTTTAGTAGCTATCTGACTCTGAGTGAGTCACTTAAATTCTCTGCTACTCGGCTTCCATATCTGCAAAAATGAGATAATTCTCAGCCTGCAGAATTGCTGTGCATGTGGAGAAGCAGTAAAGGTAGAAAGATGAGTAAAACTCCTGTAAGGACGGAGTTTTGATTCCCCTGGCTTTGATAACCTTGCTAGGATTGAGGCAGGAGTAGGACTCTAAAGGGCCTTCCTGAGTAATGTTAGATGGCTCTTACCCAGGCTTCCAGAGCATCGCCTAGTCATAGTTGGGCATTACACTTTGCAGAGCACACAGGTGAGTAGGACACCAAGCTACTCAGGGTGGCTAAGTCTGGTGGTTTTCTTCCCAACAGTCATTCTCTCCTCACCTTTCATCCTTGCTCTCAGAATCCACTTTCCAACTCCAGAGGCTTAAAATGCCAATAAAGTTTGAACATCCCTAATTTCAAAATCTGAAATCCAAAATGCCTCAAAATCCAACGTTTTTTGAGTGTCAACATGGTGCTCAAAGGAAATGCTCATCAGAACATTCAGGTTTTGGGTTTTTGGATTAGGGATGCTCAATTGGTAAGTATGCTCAATTGGTAAGCTCAATTGGTAAGTACTCAAAAAGTAAGCAAATATTTCAAAATCGGGAGGAAAAAAAATCTGAACTCTGAAACACTTCTGGTCCCAAGAAGTTTTTGAGTATTTTGGGATACTCAACCTGAATAACTTTTTTTTTTTTTTTTTTTTGGAGATAGAGTCATGCTCTGCCGCCCAGGCTGGAGTGCAATGGCGCAATCTTGGCTCACTACAACTTCTGCCTCCTGGGTTCAAGCGGTTCTCCTGTCTCAGCTGAATAACTTTTATTATTAGGGCATAAGCATGTAACCCAACCCCAGTGGAGGAGTTTAAAGGTAAGTCTTCTGAGATGTTTCTGTGAAAGTTTTTCCTTTATGATGTGGGGAGGAGGAATAATGGTCCTCTTCCTATCTTTAGATGTAGCTATGTGTGAACATAATTCCTGGAGCTATGGCAGCCTACTTGGGAAACTCTGAGGATGCAAACCAACATGCTGGGGATAGCACACAGGAAAGCAGAAAGCACATGGGTTGAGTGCTTGATGATATTGTTGGGTCCCTGAATTCACTAAGCCTGAAAATGATACCCCCGGAGATAATAAACATTATTTAAGCTTTATGTAGTTACATATTCCATTATTTGTTACTTCAGTATGCATTCAGCATACAACTGAGACGGCTAAGCTTCGAGGTGTGGGGAGAAGGAGGAGGATTGATGGTAGCGCAGCAGAAAAGGAAATTAGAGAAAGGCCGCTTCTATTGGGTATGCACTATAAATCTCTACTCCACTCTTTTGGGGAAGCCTCAGTCAATTCCACATGGTTCGTGAATACTTCTGGTGTTCATGGATTGTTCTGGGGCACTTGAAGAAGGGTTGAGATCTATATCAAGAATGATGCCTGATGAAAACAGAGGCCCAGCTGGAAACAGCTGCACTTCTGGGATACATAAGAATTTGAGATTATATGCAATAAATGATAGATGCTATTATCACTATATGAAATAAATGACAGATGCTATGATTACTATATTATCCGTATTATCTTAGCCCCTGACTGGTAGGCAGAAAGGAGGTAGAAACTAGATGCTCGTGGGTGGGGATGTACCTGGAGCAGACCCTGTAGTTGTCCTTGAGAAGAAGCCTGTGACCAAGGCTATATGAAGACAGCAAGGGACTGAGCAGCAACTGGCAGCAGCCCCAGTGGATGAGCAGTAGCAGAGCTTCTGTAACTCTACAGATGGGACCAAAGACTGGATCCCAATTAGCGGAACGAAGGTCTGAAATCAGAGCAGGCTCAACACAAGTCTTACTTATTGTTTTGGAACATGGTTTCCTGAATTCTCCCTGACTAGGAAAGAACTGGTTCTATATCTCAGGTTGGGACTGACCTTCAACCTTCCACACAGAAATGAAGTTGCCTTAAGAATGTTACACATCAGCCAGGTGCAGTGGCTCATGCCTGTTATCCCAGCACTTTGGGAAGCTGAGGTGGGTGGATCACCTGAGGTCAGGAGTTCCAGACCAGCCTGGCCAACACAGTGAAACCCCATCTCTACTAAAACTACAGAAAATTATCTAGGCGTGGTGGTGGGCGCCTGTAATCCCAGTTACTTGGGAGGCTGAGGCAGGAGAATCACTTGAACCTGAGAGGCAGAAGTTGCAGCGAGCCGAGATTGCACCATTGCACTCCAGCCTGGGCAACAAGAATGAAACTCTGTGTCAAAAAAAAAAAAAAAGAATGTCATACACATACCACACATGTAGAAATACATATAAATTCTCCTTCTTTGTCTCGGTCTCTCTTTTTCTCTGTACGTGCATATCTCCTTATCTTAACCTCTCACAAAGGGCCTTGGGTGCTAACCTAACATACCCAGACAGCTACAGGGAGTCCTCAAAGCCAGGGATTTGCTTTGGTCAGTGGGGTATCAAAGGACATAACATACACCATATTTGAACTGAGGCTTTAAAGGGCCATTGGGTATTTTGCTCTTTTCATTCTGCCACGGAGATGACAGGTCTTGCTTGACTGGGGGCTCCTGCTGCAGCCTTGGTCCCCGAATGTGAAAACACATGGAGCAGAAGCAGAGCATTCACTGATGTGATGGCAGACGTGTAACGGCAGAGTGAGGAACGTGGGTTGTTACAAGCCCTTGGGATTTAGGAAGTCATTTGTTACTGTGGTAAAGCTGACTAGTAAATCCAGACAGTCACCCAGATTGCCAAGCCGAGGGACATCATAAATTTTTGTTGGTTTAAGTCACTACATTTAGGGTCTTTGTAAGGCAGGAATAGATAGCTGGAGGCTGAGTGACTTCAGACACTGAAAAGGTTCAGGACTCAAATGATGCCCACAGGGTTCAATGTCCCTGCTTCTCTTAACTCCACCTTCACCCTGGATGGGCTATTACTCCAGCTCTGTGCAGCAGACTCCAGCAGCCTTAGATGATGATGCAGTATTTCCAGGCTCATATCTTTCCAGGTTCAAGTCCAATAGAAAGAGAGCTTCTTTTCTGGCCATGCCTACAAAAGCCCTGAGGTTCACTCGGAATAAACAGACAGGCTGAGGTCATGGTCCCCCCCGGTGAGACACTCACTGTGGGGGTGGGGATGGCGGCGGCTGGAGAAGGGAGTGTATCTGTTATGAGTCTTTCAGTTGAAACTCAAACGGCCATTTTAAAAAGGGAATTTATTTAGCCACGTAACTAAAAAGAAGAAAAATTCATGGATGGTTCCAACTTCAGGTGTGCTATGATTTGGAGCTAAAGTAATGTCACTAGGACTCACCTCTTGACTTTTCAAAATTACTGACAGACAAAATTACGGAGATATGTTCCCCACCGGGAATTATGAAAACTAAGGATAAGTGGGTTTTGATGACGGTAATAGGTTCCATTCAAATGTTTGGGTTCTTCATTTAATTTGGTTTCTACAAGTAACCATAAACTATAAGATGTTAGTTTTGATGTATGATCGCAGGTTTTTGTGTAGCAAGGAATCAGTGTCTGGGTAAGTGCATCTTTGTTTCAACTGCCAACAGAGACAAGAGTGTAAAATGGAGCCGGATTGCCCAAGCTCAGATTCTGGCTCTAATACTTATTAGCTGGGTGACCCTGAGCAAATTATTTAACCTCCCTATGCCTTGGTGTATTCATCTGTAAAATGAAAGATGATATTCTCTACCTACCACATAGGGTTGTTGTTAATACATGTGAATCACCTAGAATAGGCTTTAAACATATTAAATGCTCAATGAATGCTAGCTATTATTATTCCCATTTCTACAGAAAACAAATGATTACTAATAAAGACATTTTTCAAAAATGACCATTTTAGATGGCAGGGGTTGGCTTGGTTCAGATTTTTTGCTTAGCAGAAAGACAGGGACTAGAACTGTATTTGCTCATATTGTGCATCAGAAAACATTCTTATATTGTTCTGCTGTGTGTTTTCACCTGCCCCTGCATGTTTTCATCGGTTACTCAGCTGTAGTCTTTCAAGAGAGATATTTGTGCTTCTTTGTATGAAAGAAACCTTACATAAAGCTCAACTAAAGCTATAGGGAGGAGACAAAGCAAAGATTTCTTAGATTAGTGTATTTTGCAATCTAGCTTTGAATAGTAAGGATGAAGCATTGATTTCTTTTTTTTCTTTTTCTTTTCTTTTTTGAGATGGAGTCTTACTCTGCCACCCACACTGGAGAGCAGTGGCGCGATCTCAGCTCACTGCAACCTCCACCTCCCGGGTTCAAGCAATTCTCTGTCTCAGCCTCCCGGTTAGCTGGGATTATAGGCACCCTCCACCACGCCCGGCTAATTTTTTTTTTTGTATTTTTAGTAGAGACAGGGTTTCACCATCTTGGCCAGGCTGGTCTTGAACTCCTGACCTCATGATCCAACTGCCTCCACATCCCTAAGTACTGGGAATACAGGTGTGAGCCACCGCGCCCGGCCCTGGGGCGTTGTCTTCTATCTCCTTTATCTTCTCATTGCATAATCTTGTCTATTTTTTTGGGCAGGGGGAGCAGGGGGAAACTTGAAAAACTTGACTGTCCAAGTGTGGCATTAGCAATTATTTGAACTTCATATCACGACGAGTTGCAGGTTACTCATCGCTTCTCAGGGTTATTTTTGTTTTAGTTGTATTGTGTAATTGTGGTTGATAAAACAATCGTTTGATTAATCTGAACTTATCCTGGCTCTGGTTGCACACATTCCTAACTGTAATGTGCCCCTCTGTGAGATTGACAGGGATTAAGCTCTGCAGGCACATTATCCACAGCTCTGTCTTTCAGCTTTGGATGTTTTTACACAAAGTTCCATATTGAGATGAAAAGGGGAAGAGTGGGTGGGGCTAGAGAGATGCTTAGATAAGTTGAAATGCTTTTGAAAGGACTGGTATGTATAACTTGAGTAGGTTTTATCTTCAAGTTAAAGTGGGGTAGGAAGATGGGAATTTTGCCTCATTGCTCTTCAAGTCAAACTTAGATTGCTGAGAGACTTCGTGTACAAACACAAGCGTTTGCTGAACATGTTCCTGAATTAAATGTGAGGGACGGTTTGGGAATTAGAAATCTTCTGGGACAGTTTATGAGTTTAAACAGCTACCTGAATCTAAAGTTTCTCCAGAGCAATTCAAGTTATTTCTCTCCTAGAGAAAGAAAAAAACGTGTAAGTATTCTATGACATTTTTAATTTAAATTTTTGGTAGTCTGCAAGGTTTATTGAGTACTCAAGGTATGACGAAGAAAATATTGATATCTAATAAAAGCTTTTTTTTTTTTTTTTTTTTGAGAGACAGAGTCTCGCTCTGTCACCCAGGCTGGAGTGCAAAGGCACGATCTCCACTCCCTGCAACCTCTGCCTCCCAGGTTCAAGCGATTCTCATGCCTCAGCCTCCCAAATAGCTGGGACTACAGGGGTGTACCACCACGCCCAGCTAATTTTTGTATTTTTAGTAGAAATGGGATTTCATCATGTTGGCCAGGCTGGCCTGGAACTCGAGACCTCAGGTGATCCACCTGCCTCGGCCTCCCAAAGTGCTGGGATTACGGGCATAAGCCACCACACCTGGCCTCAAAAGCTTTTTTACTTTGGATCAAAAAGGGAATGTTTGATCCCTAAGCACTAATAATAATAGTTTTATAAAGCAATAAAGTGTGTTGGATATTATTGACCACCACCACACAGGTGTAGGTATATTTGTATTTCTTTTTTCTTTTCTTTTCTTTCTTTCTTTTTTTTTTCTGAGACAGAGTCTCATTCTGTCACCCAGGCTGGAGTGCAGGGGCGTGATCTTGGCTTACTGCAACTGTTGCCTGTGTTCAAACAATTCTCCTGCCTCAGCATCCTGAGTAGCTGGGATCACAGGCGCCTGCCACCACGCACGGCTAATTTTTTGTATTTTTAGTAGAGATGAGGTCTCACCATATTGGCCAGGCTTGTCTCGAACTGCTGACCTCAGGTGATCCACCCACCTTGGCCTCCCAAAGTGCTGGAATTACAGGCATGAGCCACCGCACCCAGCCATATTTCTATTTCATAGTTTAAATATCTGAAGCTTTGAAAGTTTAAGAAACTTCCCATGGTCACAAGTCTAGTAAAAGATTAAGGTGGGAATTGAAAAGATGAAGGTCTGTCTGTTGCTAAACATGTGTTTTATTCTTTCTGGGGGTAGGCATAGAACTTCCTGTGATAATGTTCTATATCTCTGTTACCAATACAGTCCCCACAATATGGTGGCTATTGCACACATAAAATGAAACTAGTGTGACGAGAAACTCAATTTTTTTTTTTTTGAGACAAGTCTTGCTCTCTGTTGCCCAGGGTGCAGTGCAGTGGCGCAATCATAGCTCACTGCAGCCTTGAACTCCTGGGCTTGAGCAATCCTCCCGCCTCAGCATTCTGAGTAGCTAGGAGTGGCTTAAATGTAAAAATTTAAAATAAATTTTAAAAGAACTTTTGTAGGGACAGGGTCTCATTATATTGCCCAGACTGGTCTCAAATTCCCAGTTTTAAGAAATTCCCCGCCAAGGCCTCCCAAAGTGCTGGGATTATAGGCATGAGCCACAGTGCCGGCACTAGAAATTTAATTTTTAGTTACATTTAATTTTCACTAATTTAAATTTAAAGTTAAATAGCCACATGTAGCTAGTGGCAGCTGTATTGGACAGCATAGCTATAGGACATCACACTACCTTGTCTATAAATGCTTAAGCTACCGTGATCTCATGTATAGGACATCTGGGTATCAAAGACAGAAAAATGTGAAAGTGTAGTTGGAGGAAAAAACACATTTTATCCAAAGCAAAGTTACTTTTCTTTTCTTTTCTTCTTTTTGAGATAGAGCCTCACTCTGTCACCTAGGCTGGAGTGCAGTGGCATAATCTTGGCTCACTGAAACCTCTGCCTCCCAGGTTTAAGCAATTCTCTGC